AGGATCTGAGTGCCACTGTTGTGCTCCATGGAATAAGTGAGAGAGGTCTTAGGTTGAAGTCAGGGAAGTGTGAATTTGAAGGGTGTTATGCAAATAATGCTAGAAGGCTTTGAAAATGTGCTGGACCCAAGGGAGATTAGTGGGAAGTAGTGTAAGGGCTGTGTCCTGCCCTGTGGTGAGGTTGCTTTGTGTTGCCGTAGCAACTCTACAGAGTTTGGTCCTTGGAGTATTTTTTTGTTTATGGCTTGGAGTTCCCATTGCAGCTGCCAAAAAGTCATTAGTGCAGGAGACAAGGAAGGAGAGAAGGCTTTTACATCCTGCTCAATAACTAGCTCCCACTGTCCAAAATAGCACAAAATGGAAATATTCTAGTGCTGCTCTGTGACATGGTGGATGGTTGGGTCCTAACAGGTTCTTTGTGTGCCATCCTTTGTCTCGTCTGAGCAGGACCTCACTTGACGGCCAGAAGGAAATGGAGTTTGACTTTAGGAATATTAAATGTTTTACCACAGACTGTCTTCTGGCAGTGGCCTGAACTAGATTTTCCCCTAAGGGATATTAGAACTCATTTGCCTCAGTGAATTTAAAGCTGCTGAAAATCATTGGCCTGATGGCTGAGGAGCCTGACGCCTTCCATTCCTCTCCAGAAGTGACTGTCAGTGAGCAATACTGTTTTGAGACACCTCCTGCCAGCTCTCACTTTGCAGAGTTCACCACCCTCCTGCTGCCTTTCTCGTGGTGGGCTCTGGGGGTAATTGGAACTATCCCACTTGTCTCTCCCATTGTCCCATGTCAGGCTCCCTGAAGGGGCTGCTGGCAGTAACAGCCTGACAGCCCGTTCCCTGGTCTGTGTGGCCATGGTGGGGCACACGATTCTTGTGTCTGAAAACAGTGCTGACAGCATGCAGAGAGCCTGAGAGCAGCCTCTAATGAGCTGCTTGCAGATGCTGTCCTCTTTTGTGTGGAGCCTTGTCCTCAGGAGACCACAAACCCCTTCATGCAGAGTGAATTTCAGTGGAGACAGGAGGGAGTGGCACACACTGTGACTCGCAGTCTGCACAGACTGGCATTTGCAAGGGGTCTCGGGTGTTTACATTTCATATCCAACATGCGTGCAGCGATGTGTGGTTGCTCTCTTCTAGGAGACAGAAGAAGACAGCCTCGCATGCCGTGACGGAGCTGGAGAGCACCAAGCATTGCAGCCAGGCCGGGAAGCCTCTCTTCTGCCCTTCCCATCCCACAGAGGAGCTAAGGCTGTTCTGCGAGCAGTGTGACCAGCCTGTGTGCCGGGATTGCGTTGTAGATGGGCACCGGCAGCACCCCTATGACTTCACCAGCAATGTCATCCACAGGCATGGTGATGCCCTGCGGGAGCTGCTGAAAGGCACCCAACAGCACATGAGTACCCTAGAGGGTGCGCTGAGCCAGATTGATGACATGGGCAGTGCCGTTCGCAGTCGCACAGAGGCCGTGGCCACAGAGATCTGTCTGTTTGCCAGTGGGTATGTGAAAGCAATTGAAGAGCACCGGGACCAGCTGCTGAAGCAGCTGAAGGACTTGAAGGTGCAGAAGGAAAACCTGCTGCACTTGCAGAAGGCCCAGCTGCAGCAGCTGCTGCTGGACATGAGGACAGGTGTGGAGTTCACGGAGCGCTTGCTGACCAGTGGCTCGGACCTGGAGATCCTCATCACCAAAGGGGTGGTGGCAAGCCGGCTGGCAAAGCTGAACAGCATTGCTTACAACACTCACCCCAGCGTGGACAACGGGATCCAGTTTTCTCCCCAGGAGAGGGCAGGGCAGTGTTCCGGCTATGAAGTTTTTGGGGCCATTCTCAATAAAGTGGTTGATCCAGCCAGATGTACCCTGCACGGGGAAGGTAATGGGGTGCTGTACCATGGCTGAATGGGAACACCCTGTTCCCTGAAGTCACCCCTCCGTTCTCTGTACCCACATGGTGTGCAGCTTAGGGCACTGTTGGCTCCCTGCTGTCCAGGTAGTGACTAGGGGCAGACGGGTACGGCAGGGTAGAGCCCTGCCAGAGCTTGCATTGCTTGCTGAGGGCTTACAGGAGCCATGCTGGGCAGGGAGACAGAGAGCTATCCCCAGCCAGATGTGACAGCGTACTGGAGCTGCCCTCCGCAACATCACTGACCTCAGCATGGGGTGAGGTGTAAGGAGAGCAACACGTAGGCCAAAGACCACAGCTTACTCGGGGGATGGCGCCTGCAGTGGTAGGATGTGATGCTCACCCGGTGGCCCCAGCTGTTCTGCAGCATGGGCCCAGACAGATCCCCTCTGTGGCTGAGCGAGTTTGCTTTGCAGCTTCTGCTGAGATTGCCGTGGGAATAACTGGCATGGTAGATAGTTTCATGGGTGTTTGCTTATTAAGGACTTGGAGTAGTATGGCCAGCAAACAGATAACGTTCAGACCAGCCCACAGAGTGCAGCCACCTCTGGTCAGTAATGGCCTGCGCAGGGCAGATGAGACAGACCCAGGGCTCGTTCGATCCTTTCCGTGCCAAACTGTAAGTGCTGAAGTCTCTCGGGCTCCACACTGCACAGCGTGCTGTTCCTCCTCCGTCCTGGTTGCGTGGCGCACCTTGAGGCCTTCTGGGAAGATGCCAGCTGGGCTCGGAGGGGCAGGCAGGAAGAGCACCCTGGTCTATACAAACCTCCGGGCTAAGCCTGCCCAACATCTCACAGCGCCTGCAGCTGTCCACTCTCTTGGTCCCCAGTGATATCTTTACTTTTCCCTGTGGGTGGAAGGAGTTGTACACCCACCCCAACAGCAGAGTCCTGGCTGTGCTCTGATGGGACTGCAACACTGCAAAGTAGGTGGAAGGTGGCAATCATGGCCGGTGTGAATCCTTTCTGGTCCTGTTTCTCTGCCTCACAGATCTCCACAGTGCCCGTCAGAACCAGCTGACTGGCTTTACCCTGCTCTGCAATGACACCACGGGGGAGCGGATGGGGCGAGGAGGAGAGGCCGTGCGGGTCACCATCACCCACAAGGACAAGAGAGACTGGTGGGTATTCACCTGAGTTTCACCCTGGTCACTGGGTTTGCTTTTCTGCTTCCCTTACCCTGGCTCCTGCCTTGTTTGGGCAGGCTTCAGCATGTGGGTCAGAATCTGTAGGGGAAAAGGCACTACTGTTCTTCCCACCAGTATAACAGTGCTTCCTACTGGTTGTATTTGGCTGTGTGGAGCTTGACAGCGTTGGCTCAGCTTTGTATTGACTCTTTGAGTGATTTGGGACTTCTTAAAGGATTCAACTCTCAGCGGGTGTTACACATTGTCAGAATGAGCTGTTGCTCCTTCCCACCTCTACCAGTAGACACCCAGGGCTCCTGCTTTTGTTAATACCTAATGAGCGTAAAACATAGCAACTCCAGCATGACCGTCCCGAGTCAGACAGACAGTCCACCAAGCCTGGGAGCCTCTGACAGTGCCTAGTTCATGTTCTGGAGAAAGAATCTGTGTGAGGACTTCACCTTGCTTTCTCATGTAGTTGCAATGTTGAGCACTTTAACATGTTCAGAGATTTTCTAGCAAAAGCAAGAAGACCACACTTGAGCTTCTAAGTGTTTCCACAATGAAAATGACCAACTAAAAAAACATATGTTGTGTTACTGTAAAGCATCCAGGCATAAATGCAGAACCAATTGGGGGTCAGTTCTTAAGAAAAACATCTATTCTTTTCTATAGTGCGTAAAATGTAGCTGGAGCAAGATGCCGGTCTAACTTGTTCCGGGATCCACTGTTGGTGGGATGACCTAATGGAAAAAGGGACAGGATGCGAAAGCTCCTTGCTATGGGGAAGTGTTGACAGGGCATACAGAAACAGTGCCGGCTGCACAGATGCTTATCAGTAGAGCATCATTGTTCAAAAATATCGTTCCAACGTACCTTCCTTCCTTAGGTGTACGTACGATGCAGGACAGTGTGCACATGAGGATTGTGTGGATTTTGCTTGGTGGGGTAGAGGTCGCTGTGGCCACATTAGCTCAATTTCTTGTTCTTGTGTGTATGCAGTTGTTACATCCGTTGCTGAAAGCCGTCTGGCTTTGGGTTGAGGCACAGCAGCTACAGAAGAGCGTGAAGTATCACCACACAGTTTATGGCAGGAAATGATGTAGGCAGCTGTATTGATGTGAAATGGTGGGGGGTGGGGAACACAGCCTGCAAATCTGGAAGATTATAAACTGACATGTTGTGGGGCACAAGAAACTAATTAGTGAGGATTAGGAAGAACACCGTCCTCTATGCAGAGCTGCCTGATAATTGTCTGTGGAAAGCTCTTTCCATCTTTCTGTGAAGCAGGCAATCAGTCCCTAAGTAACTAGCTGATGCTTTCTCCCTGGCACTCTGTCCAGCAGGGTTCCTTGTGAAACCCAGTGAGCTTCACTTTGGAAAGGGAGAGTTCACCAGCAGGGACCTAGGACTCCTCAGAGCACTGAAGAGTTGGGGTCAATGCGTTTGGGACAGTGGTTGAAGTGATTCAAACCTGCCCTGTTTATGTCCCGTCTTATTCATGGGCTCTTCTGGAGGTAACTGCTCTCTGAAGCTGTGAATTTACCCCATTTCTGAGGGCTCTTATCTGACGGGATAATCTGACCTGCAAGTGTGCTGTCTGTCATCTTCTGCTCTTTCAGCGCTCAGGGTTGCTACAGATCCTTGCAGTGCAGCTAGCTTTGTGTGACTTCCTTTGTATGGCTATTGCAGCTCCCGGTAGCAGGTGTGTGTAAAAGCTACTCAGTGCTTGAGCATTGCTTATGCATCCTGTTAAGCTCACTTGAGACCCGCAGCTGCTGAACAAGTTTGAGGATAAGGAACCGACCACAAATCTAGGCCAAACAGTGGTTCGCATGTAGAGCAATTTTCTGCCAGTCACTGACCTCTTGGACTTCTCTCTGTTTGTAGTGCAGTCAAGCCAACAGTGTGTGATAACAGTGATGGGACCTACCATATTTCCTACAGCCCTGAGGAGCCGGGCTTGTATGCTGTCTGCGTCTATGTGAAAGGGCAGCATGTGCAGGTAGCATTTCTTGTTTCTCTTGTGCTGCTGCTTCTTTACCTGCTTTTCTTCTCTAAGTATTTGCTTTAAATCTTTCTAAGGATTACCTCAACCACTTAGCAGTTTAAGACTGGGCTTAGAGATCTGTGACTGACAGGATCACCCGGTTGGTTTTTGAAAACATAGACACAACATCTGGTGGCATCCACTGCAGCAGCCTATCTGCTTGCTTGTCCTCTCCAGGGCTCTCCATTCACTCTGATGGTGAAAAACAAGTTCCGCGAGCACCAGGGCGTGTTTCACTGCTGCACGTTCTGCTCAAGCGGAGGGCAGAAAGCTGCTCGCTGTGCCTGTGGGGGGACCATGCCAGGTGAGTGCTCAGCTTTCCCCATGCTGCTGGTGTCAGGAAGGTTTCTTGCATTTGGGGCTCCCTAGTGTAGATAGCTGTGAGTAGATACTCCAGCCCAACTCCTGCCTTGCACATGTACCAGGCCTGTGATAACCTGTGTGGACATATCTTCTGGTAGGGTGGGACTGCAGCAGTGAGAAATGCAGCAGGACATGCTAAGGGTCTATGCAGCACACCCCATAGACAGAGACCTGAGCCAGCTCTGCAGGAGATGGGGCAGGGCAGCTCTGTCTTTCAGCCCTTCTCAGTGAGGCTAAGCAGCACTGCATTTATACTGTTCCTGTCCCAGTGCTGGCAGGTTGGGAGCTTCTGGGCGGTGTCACACAGTGCCCAATGCTGTCCTATGGAGAAGCCTCACTCCTTATTTAGGATGAGAGTTCAACTCCCTTATTTGTTTAATCCCAACCAGCTTCCCTGTCCTTGACTTGCATGTGTCATTGTGTGTTTTGCATGGCTTAGTACAGAACCAGCCTCTTCCTTTTTCTGTGCTTGATCTGTATCTAGCTCTGGCCATAGCCACCAGCGGCTGGCATGGGGTTTTGTGTCTTGCATTACTCAACAGGCAAGGGGATGGAAATCTTCAGCTTTCGCCAGTGATCGGAACGGGAAGGTCCCCCTCGGTTGTTCTCCTTTCTTTATGGAGCCCTGGCAATTTTGGCCTTGAATAAGCTGTGTTCTCATCAGCACGTGCCTCCCTGTCTTAGACAAGTCCTGGAGCTGAAGCACTCTCTGAAAGCCTCTGACACACTGGGATTTTCTGGCCCACTTTTGGTTCAGCTGATGATGCCTTTTCTCTTGCAGGTGGGTATGAAGGCTGTGGCCATGGACACAAAGGTCACCCTGGCTGCCCGCACTGGTCGTGCTGTGGACAAGTGAAGGAGAGCTCGGAGTGTTTGGGTGGGCCACCCAGCGACACCTCGCAGAGGAGTTTGCTCAGGACAGTGGTGCTCTGAGCAGTCAGGTGAGCCCCTGCGAGCCCAGTGCACTGCTGCTGGCTGCTGCATGAGCACAAACCACAAGGATTCCCACATAGGATCCATGAGGATCACTTCATAGCCTCGCTGCCAGAAAACAACATTGTGATGGGTGCAAACTGAGAAAGAGGAAGGAGAGAAAATAAAATTGTGCCTTATATTCCACCCAGGGCTGTGTGTGCAAAGTTGTTCTGTGCCTGAACAGGAGCAAACACTGGGCATTGTACTGGTGCCTACGCTTTCAAGGACTTGAGGCCTGTGGGGTCAGGCTCTATGGGGAAACTCAGTCTGAGCAGTTACCTCACAGGAGGGTCAAGATGTGTCTCATTCTGCAGGACTGACAATCTCTGCTGTTCTTGAAGAGGCCAAAGCTGCTTGTTGGGGCACATTCCAAAGGATTTGCGTTCGTGCCTTGGAAAGGCTTGGCGGCCTGAATATGGCTTCTGCCTCCGCATCAGATATGCAGCTGAATTCTGGCCTTGGATGTTCACAGTCACACTCCTGGGAGCTGCTGTTGTGCTTGCAACTCTCATATCTTCTCCAAGTGAGCTGTAGTCTCATTACACCCTCCCTGCAAAGTAAGAGCAAGAGGGGTTAGTAATATATCCGAAGGAAATCCAAGGAAAACCCATGGCACTGATGGGAACAGGAATTAGAATGTCATTCACCCAGTCTGTATGTTCCCCATGGAGATGGTGTGGGACATAGCACTGCTGGGGGTGATAGGGGAGCCAGGAGAGCACCCAGCTCACCAAGGGAAGATTTGGGGACAGTTTGAGCATCAGTAGGAGCCATAGGTGCCGGTTTGCAGGTGTTCTGAACTGGGGCAACGAGGGAAGAGCAACAGCAGGAGACAAAATACAGCAAAACTCCTGGATTTGGCTTGCGCACTCTTGGCAAGGCTCTGTTTTTAGAAGGAGAGCGTGTCCCATTTTCCACAGGCGAGGAGGGATGCATCTTTTGGGCCTGTACACACGCTGCCGACCCATAGTTGGGGTAATGGCATCTATGATGAGGAGGAAGAAGCACTTTCCTGGAAGGGCAACTGCTAACCTGCCGATTGCTGCCTGCCGCTTGCCTGGGTGAAGCAAACACCCTGGACACCTTCCTGAACAAAACATATTCATGTCGTTGAATCTGGGAACACTACTGCCCTGGGGGTAACCTTGCTAGTACGTGTGTGTTGCCAGGGGCTCGTAATACTGTCTGGGGAGCTGGGGTGGGGACAAAGGTCTGACTGTTGGTCATTTGGGGAGAGGAATGCTGCTCCAGTGTCAACAGTAAGGACTGGTTCTTGCTTTCTGGCTGATGACAGCTGGCTTGTAAATAGTAGAAACCTGTGCTGTCTGCTTGCTCAGACCTAGCAGACTCTCATTTGCTGTTTGTGCGTCGTACAAAGCCAGTTTCAGAAACTCTTCTTCCCAGCAAAGGCGATAGATATCCTTATGCAAATGCTGTTTATAGCTTTCCATTAATCATCCAGAAAGGGCTGTCAAACAAACGGGGGAAGGTTAGGCAGTTTAAATCTCCAAGTTAGGCAATTTAAGTCTCCAAGTTGCTGACTCTGAAATTTCAAAGTGAAAGTTTAATTTAAGTTAACCTTTAATGGAACAAACAGTAACTCATTCTTGGCCTTGCTAATGTGCAGAGTCAGTGCGCAGTACAGAATGTGATGTAAAACAAAATGCCTCATTTTCTGTGTCTTTCTGTCTCTTGCCTTCCAGCCCCTACTTGTACGCTGGGTTTTTTTGGAGCTTCCATGCTGTGTTGCAGAGGGAACACATAAAGACAGCACTACCTTGTAGGCACATAATTTCTGTCTAAAAACACCTTAGTCCTCTCAGACAGAGGAATGTGTTTTCTTTGTGTTGCGCATCCCTTACACACCCTGTCGCTGACATTTTCCAAGAAGCTGTTTGTGAGAATTACACCAGCAAACATATAAACCTCCAGGGAACTGCAGTCGGCTTGGGCTGAGGTCTGTGTTTGACACGGGGAGAGCAGTTTTCAGACAGCATGGGGTACTAATCCTGCCAGGGTCAGGCCCTTGTATTGATTTTTTTTTTTTTTTCTGATAGACTTGAAGGCTCAGTTAGTCTCAGGGATTATAAAGTATTGACCAGCTATCACTCTGTGTTTGGGCAAAGCGGGCTGTGCATGAGGATAGCTTGAAGAATCATGTGCAGAAAAGACATTTAAAGACCTTAGTCCCTTTGTGGGGGTTAGGTGTGAGTGTCCTCCCATTATTTGCAAGCAGACTTTGCCCTCAGTGTTCATTACTCAGAATGTTTTTCCAAATGAATATATCCTACTGATCTGCTGGTGTCTCACACTGGTCCCCAACAGCCGTTCCCAGGAATGGCTTCCAGTGCTCTGTTGGTAATCAGCCTTGGGCAGGTGGTGGATTAGGAGGTGTAGTTAGTCTGCTGGGCTACATTTATTTCTGACCACCTGGTCCTTGAGATAACAAAGATATTTTCAAGACAGACATACGTGCAGTGCTGACAGAATGGCACTGGTAAATATGCATGTTTTTCTGAGGACAAGAGCCCTTGCTGATAAAATTGCCTGGCTCCAAAGTTTGGGGAAAAAAAAAAAAAAATAAATGGTGATAAACACGAGTAGGGGCTTTGGGAGGCAAGAGAAGGAGGACTTACTCCCTGGACAGGGAAAAGAGAGTGTAGCTGGAAGGAAAAACACAGCAAGAACAAGAGACTGTGGAAGACCTGGAAGAGGCCCTGCAGCCTGGAAGGCTCCACGTAGGGTGCCTCCAGGGTCAGGTATCACGCTAGGGTACCTCTCCCTTCTCAGAGGAGGCAGTGGCGACACAGCTGTGCTTGTAGCTTTGTGCATGAGTGTCTAGTTTGTCCCCAGAAGGCTTCAGGAGCAGTGCAGAAGCTGGCTCAGCAGGGCTGCTTGGCCTTCCCACGGCAGGAGGTGATTCACAGGGGCGCCCTGGCCATCTGGGGTGCCATGTCAAGACAGGCTCTGGCAGTGGCCCACAGGCAGCGTAGGGGGATTTGCCTATGTCCAGCCGAGGGTGGCTCACCACCTCCCTCTTTTGAGAGATGAGGGCTTGTTCTGAGTGCTGCTGCTTCCAGCTTCCCTTCAAGGGCAGGTGACGTTGAGGACAGGTAGAGCTGAAAAGGCTGTCCTCCTTCCAGCCTTCAGGGTGGGACCACTAGTGTTCCCATCTCTAGTGCTTCTCAAGCACCTCTTGACACCATTGTTACAGATGTGGGAGCACAAGGCTGGAAAGGTGTCCAACTTTTTTGGCCAAATCTGAAGGATAGCTTTCATCTTTTTCAGCCTGCTGGCTGCCTTGACCTCTCTTGAGCACGACATCAAACTCGGCTGCTTGTCAGCTTACCACAACTCCATCTTCTCCTGGTTCTCCTCCTTCACTGATAGCTCCTTCAGCTTTCTAGTGACATTGAAATAAGGCATGCACTTGCCATAACTAAGGGAACTCCTCTGACGGAATTATTATTTGTGCAGGAAGAAACAAGTTGTATTATGAGGGGCAGAGTGACTGCAGTTCTTGTGCCCATGCCTCCCCCAGATCACTGAACATCTTCTTGGGCCCTGACCCGCCTTCAGTCCTTCCTGCCTGCCCTGTTCCCTCATGCAGGCAAGAGGCAGCACATGCTGTGGCCAGCTGTGGGGCACCAGCTGGTGGGTCCAACAAAACTGGTGACACTTCGTGCCTGCTGTTGCCTTCCCCTCAGTGAAGACAGCCGATGCCTGTCTTCCCTGGGTGCTCACCAGCTTTCACAGACTCCATGGGACCAGATCCTGCTGTCACATTTGGTTGGATTTTGCTGATAAATTCAAAAGTGGCAAGAGCTGAGCAGACTGTGTGGTCACAGATCCTTGATTTCTTTGGGAAATATCCTGAACACCTCTTGTTTTTTTGCAGTATAAGCATACAGAGAGGAGTAGACTCCAGCATGAGAGCTGCTCAGAAATTAATGTGGTGTTACCCTGGTGAATGGGACTTGCTCTTGTCCTACTGGGGCTGCCTGTGCCTCAGAAACAGACCTGTTTTTCCAACATGAAAGTAACCCGGTCATTGACTGTGTGGTGAGGTGTGCTGCGGCTGTGACCTGGAGTTAACCGGTGCACTGCACCAAAGGCAGCTGTAAATCAAGTGTCACTGAGGGCAGCAGGATATTTCTTAATATGCATTTTCCACCAGGCCACTATGGCCTGGAGCTATTCTTAGCTTCTGGTAATGGTCTGCTAAATTACGACAAGTTTAGTAATCAGTAAAATACTACAAAATAAATCGCATTTCTTTTTTTCAGATTAAAAAGGGCTCTTCCATGCTAAAGCAGGAGGGAAGTGAAAACCACATAAAGTTTGCTTTATAAGTTTAAACTATTTAACCACCAAAGAGCAACAGTGATTCTCAGGTGAAAAATTTCCACTCCTCAGTTTTATTCAGGGGCCATAGGATGAAGGATGTGCTTTCAGTAGCAGCCAAGATTGGAGCGTTAGAAGTAGGTCCAGCTCATACCTCTGCCACAGACCTTGCACAGGGCATTCAGGTAGCTCCTCTACCTGGAGAGCGATTAGCTTCACAGTCAAGCACTTGCACTGAAGTAGCACATGAATGGCTGAGTAAACCCAATGGCTAGTCACTCTTGAAAGGAGAAGGTCCCACCCTGGCTCCTCTGTCCTTGCTGCAGGCCGTGCGGTCCTGCTGCACCAGCAGTATCCCAAGGTGTGACTCTCCTCTGACCACATGGGGAGCCAATTCAACCTCCTAACCCAGCAGGAAACCATTTGCTTTCTAATTTTACTTTGTTTCCTAACAGGTGACTAGGCTTAGTGGAGGTTCAGATCTGTGCTCTCATCAGTGCAAGGTGGTGAGACGTGGGAGGAGGTTCAACACAAGCTGTGACATGTAACTTCGCCCTGGCGTGAGGAGGCTGGAAGTAGTGAGTCCTGGGTGCTAAATGCCTCGGAATACAGTTTGCTGACTTGGATGCCTGTACAAGAGCCACAGCCCCTTCCAGCTCTCTCTCTGCTGTCTAGAAACGTCTGTTATGTGTCGTGCACCACATCTGG